GCATCAGGGTTCATACTTAGCGCGAACACAGCGTGACTCGCTAATGGAGGCCGTGGCCGTGGGCCAGCCAGGCTGCAGTCACAGAAACCCGCGGTGGGCCAGTGGCCCACGGATGTATCTTGAACGATACGTGCTTGTCCTTAGGAGATCTGGAAAAATGAACAGCACCAAAGTGGTTTAAGCCCACAGCCCTGGTCTGTGTCCGAAGGTCTCTGTTCGTGTCGGGGACCGTCCAGCCTCTGCGTCCTGTGCTGCAGAAGCAGGTGCATCGTCCTGTTTCCGGAGCGCCCTGCGGTGGGTTTCCCGGCAGCACACCCCGCGGTCGGGCAAGGCCAGTGTGCATCCAGGCGGTCCCCAGCCAGTGTGCAGCGTAGGCGGTTTTCCGGGCTGTGCATGTGCGTGTTTTTCTTGTAGTGGCAGAGCAGAGCATCCTCCTCTGAAACCCTCCCTCCCGTGTTCCTCCACGGCGAGCGCCCTAGAGCTGTCCATGTGTGGGGCCCACCGCCGGCGCCCCCACTCACCCCCAGACTCTGCAGGTGGTCACCACCTTGTGCTCGCTGCAGGGGCCGTTGGCCTTGCTGGGGTCACACGGGGCGGTGGCAGCCGGCCCCTGCCCTGGTCCTCGGGGAGTTTGCGAGGGGCGGGCAGGGCTGCAGTGTCCCCTGTGCTGTCAGGGCTCTCTGGCCCTTGTTCCTCCTGCAGAGGGACGGGAGCACCATTAGCACGCCTTCTGATTAACGGCGCGGCGCTGTCAAGGGCTCTTTGAGGCGCACTTTCCAGGCTGCCAGGACCCCCCTCTGAGCCTGTGTCTGCTCACACAGCACGAGTGCCGTGGGGGCCCTTCCGCCCGCAGACTGGCCTTCCCGGCCTATGGGGGCCAGGTTGCAGGTGCCCGCCCGGAGCAGTGAGACCAGGGTCGGGTGGGAGCTCCGAGAGCCAGCGGGAGGCTGGCCCCCAGGCAGGGCAGGCTGGCAGGGAAGAGGCTTGCCTTGGAGCAGGGCCCTCTGCAAGGCGGGCTGAGGCCCAGGCCCCACCTCCGCAGCCCCAGGCCCCGTCCCTCTGGCCTTCGCGCCTGCACCTGTCCCCAGAGGCACTGAGGGAGGCCCAGAGGGAGCAAGGTCAGCATCTGGGTGGCCGGCCAGCCTCGCAGGGCTCTGGCGGCCCTGGGCAGCCTGCCGGCGCTGTGCGCCGTGCTGGTGCTGGTGCCGGTGCTCAGGACTGCCTGCCCACGAGTGCCTGGCCGCTCCACCAGAGGGTAACGATGTGGCCGATGCGGCCGAGCTCACGTTGAGCTCCCCGTCTCTGCTGGGCGTGCTGGGACACCAGGTGGGAGCAGGAGCTGAGCCCGCGGGGACGTGGACCTGTCCACCTCGGTGACGGGGGCTGGCGGCGGCGGAGGCAATGGGGCCTCAGTAATGGAAACAGAGGGTCAGCGCTGGGGGCGGGCGCCCTGAGTGCACAGCTCTACCGCCGGCTCGAGCCCCCCAGGGCCTGGCACTTGCCCCTCGGTGTCGGCACGTAGCGGCCAGAGCTGCTGCTGGGCTGGGGACTCTGTCACCGCTGACCCTAACGAGTTCCCCGCCACGTGTGGACGGGGTCTGCAGTGCCCACCCGCAGCACCGAGAAGTGACAGTGGGCCCCCAGCCTGGCCCCCGTCCCCCTGCGCCCTTTACACGCTGTGGAAACCTGAGTGCCAACATTCCCGCGGGCGCCAGGACCTGTCGCTGCGGACGGACCTTGGCAGCCCGTCCTGGCCGGTGCACAGCTGGAGCGAGGACGGTGGTGGCCGGGCCCCAGGCTGCGCTGTGCTCCCTGGAGCGTGGCTGCGCGTCCCTCCGCGGCGCACACAGGTGCCTGTTTAATTATGGGCAGAAAAGCGACCACAGGGCCGCGCAGCACAAATGCCCCGAGCTGCTGTGACCGCGATGCTGGGAGGCTGCGGCCGGCCAGGAATCCGATACGCGGGCACCATCTGTGCTCCCCACCCCACGGCCAGATCGCACGCCAGCCTTTCTCTCCCGCACACGTTTCCATGAAATGGATTGAGTTTGCTGGGAACCGCTTGGCCGTAAATATTCCCTCCATGCAGAGTCCGGTGTTAGGCTCCCAAGTGCCTGCTCCTGGGGCCAGCAGGAGGTGCAGCGGCCGCCCTGAGACTGCGCAGGGCTCCCAGGGCGGGCGAGGGGCAGCCCAGTCCCACTGACCTCCGGGCGCCCGCTGCCCCTGCTCCTCCAGCGTCAGATCTGGGCTCGTTCCCGGAACAAATTGCGGGGAGTGGGGAAGGGCTCGTGGGCCAGCAGCACCGCCCTGTTCACTACAGTCTTTCCCGGCTTTTTCTTCCCCTCCCCCGGAGCTCCGCGTGGGGCAGCAGAAGTCGTCACTGGCAGCGAGAGAGCCGCTTCTTGTTTGCCAGAGGGTGTGTGTGCTTGCCAGAGAGAGAGACAGAAGGAAAGTGAGAGGTCACCTCCCCGGGGATGGCCACACCACAGTCCCTTCTTCATTCCCCTCGCTGGATTTTGGGCAGGCGTGCATACATGCCCAGCATGATTTTTTAGCGCCGGGTCTGGGACTTGAACCGTGCAGCCAGCCGTGTGAGATTCAGCCACCTTGATGTCCATGCCACTGGCTGGCCCCTGGAAGAGCATTTTAAGCTATCCTTTAAAGAAACAGAGCTGCTTGGGGCCGGCAGGTGGTGTGGTGGTGAAGAGAGCTGGATTCTTGCGTGGCCGACTGTGGTTCGAGTCCCGGATCTGGCAGCTTGCTTTCTCTCTCTTTCTGTCCCTCTCTGATCAAATTAAAGTAAATAAACAAAATAAAATTTAAGAACATAATTATTTCAAAAGAAAAAGAAATCGAGCTTCTTCTAAACCTGTTTATTTGACCAGGAGACAAAGATGGGACCAGGCTTTCCAGGCCAGCTGCAGCCATTGGCAGGAGGCTGGGGCCGTGAGTGTCCCTGCACCCCTCTGTCCCTTCAGAGGGAAGGGAGACCAGCGGGCCAGGACCAGGCCCATGGGGGGACCTTGCACGCCCTGGGTCTCCCCTGAGCCCCGCACAGCTCCCGCCACCCTGGGGAGACTTCTGGGGCCCTTTTATCCCCGCGAGTCTAGACCAGGAGTCACCCAACAGCGCCCACGGCCAGCCCAGCCCAGCCTGTTTGTAGACGGTTTTATTAGCACCTGCTTGTTGACACCCTGTCTTTGATATTGCAAGCTGCTGCGGCAGAGTTGGGAGGCCCTGAGAGACCCCGTGGCCGTAGGCACGGTTGGCCACGCCACCCCTGGCTGCAGTCCCCACCTTCTCCCGCCCACCCCGTCTGGATCCTGGTCTCCTCCGTGAGGAGCGCTCAGTGGTTTGGGGATGGGCTCTAGGTGCAGGAGGCTCTGTGCACAACGAGGACCGCGGGAGGGGATGCAGGAGAAGGGACGGTGGCCACACCTGGGGCACTCTCCTCTCCCTGCCTCTCTGGCCGCCCG